AAAAGGATCTTTTGGTGTGAGTATAACACCGGGAATATCTGAGGCGCACATCAAGCTGCAGCATACGGACGCCTGGCAAACCTAAGAACAGCAGTCCCTCATCTAAGTAAGGGGTCATTCAGGACCCTGTACACTGTGTACGTTAGGCCCATATTGGAATATGCAGCGCCAGTTTGGAACCCTCACCTAGCCAAGCATGTAAGGAGTCTAGATAAAGTGCAGAGGTTTGCAGTAAAACTAGTCCCGGAGCTAAGGGGTATGTCCTACGAAGAGAGGTTAACGGAAATCGTCCTGACGATACTGGAAGAAAGGAGAGAAATAGGGGATATGATAACGACATATAAAATACTGAGAGGTATAGACAAGGTGGACAGAGACAGGATGTTCCAGAGATAGGACACAGCAACAATAGGTCACAGTTGGAAGTTGAAGACTTGGATGAACCACAGGGATGTTAGGAAGTATGTCTTCAGTCACAGAGTTGTTAGGAAGTGGAATAGCCTGGGTAGTGATGTAGTGAAGGCAAGATCCATACATAGCTTTAAGAAGAGGTATGATAAAGCTCACAGAGCGGGAAGAGTGACCGGGTAGAGACCAGTTGAAAAGGCGGGGCCAGGAGCTGTGAATCGACCCCCGCAACCACAACTAGGTGAGTACAACTAGGTGAGTACACACACACACACACACACACACACACACACACACACACACACACACACAGGATGTTCCAGGGATGGGACACAGAAACAAGGGGTCACAATTGGAAGGTGAAGACTCAGATGAGTCAAGGGATGTTAGGAAGTATATCTTCAGTTATAGAGTTGTCAGGAAGTGGAATAGTCTGGCAAATGATGTAGTGGAGGCAGGAACCATACCTAGTTTTAAGACGAGGTATATTAAAGCTCATGGAGCATGGTGGGAGAGGACCTAGTAGCGACATGCGAAGAGACGGGGCCAGGAGCTGAGTCTCGATCCCTGCAACCACAATTAGGTGAGTACACACACACACAACACACACATGCACACACATACACATAACACACACGTACACACACATACACACAAACACAATAGGACACAGACAACCACTGTAACTTAACAAAAGCCTAATTCTTTCACTTCACACTGACTTAGAAACAATATGAACTAGACAACAAACCCTTATAACAAGTAACTTGTTAAGTGACAACATATAAACAGTGAGACTTGTAAATAATGACACTTATAAACAGTGGAACTTGTACATTAATGAAACATATAAAAAGTGAGAACCTGTTGCATAAGTAAACACATAAACAAGTGAGAACTTGTACATAAGTGACAACATATAAACAAGTGAGAACTTGTACATAAGTGACAACTTATAAACAAGTGAGAACTTGTACATAAGTGACAACATATAAACAAGTGAGAACCTGTACATAAGTAACAACACATAAACAAGTGAGAACTTGTACATAAGTGACAACATATAAACAAGTGAGAACTTGTACATAAGTGACAACTTATAAACAAGTGAGAACTTGTACATAAGTGACAACTTATAAACAAGTGAGAACCTGTACATAAGTGACAACTTATAAACAAGTGAGAACTTGTACATAAGTGACAACTTATAAACAAGTGAGAACTTGTACATAAGTGACAACTTATAAACAAGTGACAACTTGTACATAAGTGACAACTTATAAACAAGTGAGAACTTGTACATAAGTGACAACTTATAAACAAGTGAGAACGCCACAACAAACTTTTGTAAGAAGAGATTATGATCAGAAAATTCGTTAGTCTTATAACAGTAGTTTAATTAACACAAAATAATGACTTGATCACGTTGATTGTTTTACTCAGATATGCTTACACTGAAGGCCAGTAATTATAATAAACAATTAGTAATGATTAATCGAACTTTTAATAATTATTAGGTAGAAATATTCAAATGATAAGATGCATCGCTAAATCATTTATATTATTAACTGCTATTATTATTATTATTATTATTATTATTATTATTATTATTATTACATACAGGGGAAAGATCATCACCCGTAGGAGTCATACAGTACCTGGGGAATGGGAAGAAATCAGATTTGATCCAAGCAAAGGGTGGATAACTCCTATTGTCTCGGGATTACCAGACGGAGAATCGAACCTCCACCACTTCTTCACAGTCGTCAACGGTTTGACGCTTCACAGGAAATATAAATATTCAAGAGAAATTGTAATGGACAAAATTAAGTATTGAAAAGAATGCAGACAAGAACCTAGCTTTTACTGGGGTCATGTCTCCCTCTGTGTAAAACTTTATAAAGTCATATTTTGACTGAGCTCTATACAGAGCGAAAAGTAATTTAATAAAGCTCCACACCGAGAGATAAGTGACTTGATAAAGTTCTACTCAGAGAGTATACTTGACTATGAAGTTCTATAATGAGAGAACAAGATAGAGCACTTCACAGAAGTTTTGTGATTTGATAGAGCTCTACACAGAGCGAAATGTGGTCACCACAGGCGCTTGTTCTGCATCTAGTATCTTTGGCTTCACAAATTAAAACCATTATTAGGTTCAATAAATTGCTTCATGTTATTTTAAGTTATGTAATTATGAAAGTAATTGCCGAAAACAGAATATTATTATTATTATGATTATTATTATTATTATTATTATTATTATGATTATGATTATGATTATTATTATTATTATTATTATTATTATTATTATTATTATTATTATTATTAATAGTAGTAATAGTAACAGTAGTAGTAGTAGTAGTAGTAGTAGTAGTAGTAGTAGTAGTAGTAGTAGTAGTAGTAGTAGTGCAGTAAAGATTTATTGAGACAGGAGTAAATTTTGTGATTATCTCATAATCTGTTTTAGTCTCCGGCTTAATTAATGTAATTTGGGCTCTTCCTTTCATAAGAGTTTGGTACTGACTCCTGGCAGCCATTCAGATGTGGTGTTATCCTGAGACTCATCAGTGCTACAACAGCTGTTGTTCTGTAAGGCTATTCCCACAAGTGTGCATCGTGAGTGAATGTTGTTTTGTCAAATTCTCCCCTTCAGTTCATAATTACTGCTGAAATTCATGATGGCTGTTACAGCTCGGAAGTGTACAAGTATTGTAGCTCTTAGAAAACATGCTGATTTCAGTATCACAGAGGTCGCCAAAAATCTGAGCAGAGCAAAGTCAACTGTTGGTCGGATTCTGAAGACAGCTGACGACACTGGCTATTGTGGAACGCTGCGTCGAGGAAGATACAGAAAACGCAAGACAAAAACACCTCACGATGACAGTGTTATAAGAAATAGTGTGAAGGATCCCAAGAAAACCAGCAAAAATCTCCACAGAGATTTGGCTTCAGCTGGTGTAAAAGTTGATTCTTCAACTGTTCGACGAAGGCCCTTGAAGCTGGCAAACCTGCCAGAAAAACGGTAAAGAAACAATTATTGACTGCTGCTATGAAGAAAAAACGGCTGCGGTGGGCACTCGATCATAAGGGATGGATGACAGGTGAACGGAGAAAATTTGTATTTTCATATGTGACGCATTTTGGGTACAGATCAGTGGTAGAGAGACGGAGCAAAGGCGAACCTCTTCGGAATGGACACAGTCAACAAGCGCCAAAACATCCACTTAAAAAGATGTTTTGTGGTAGTTTTACTGCTAAAGGCCCTGGACGGCTTGTTATTGATGAGGGAACGATGAACTGTGGCAAATACAAGACAATCTTGGCAACTCATTTGCTTCTCGTTGTGGATAGAGACATTCCTGACGGAGAAGGCATTTTCCAACAGGATTTTGTTCCTTGCCACACTTCTAGAAAAATGCTGATATTCCTCGAAGAGAATGGGCTAAGTGTTCTAAACTGGCCTGGAATAATTGTTGCTGCTATTAGGATCTGGTACCACGACGATCTTGCCAAAATGTGTTCAACATTGATCAATTCTATGCCAGGGTGTGTAGCAATATCTATAAAGCAAATGGTAGTCATATCTCTTATTAAATCAGTTACCTATCATATCATTACCTGTCATATCATTGTCTTATTTCTTCAATGTCCCAATTAATATGCACACTACTGTAGTAGTATTGTAATTATTTTTGTGATTATCATATGGAATGCTAAACCCGTATGGGTTATACAGCACCTGGAGGATGGCAGGCGTTCCGATTCGCAACAGCGAAAGGGAGGGGAGAGGAGATAGGTCCAATTCCTTGGATCAAGAGTCCCCACCATCGCCAGAGGAAGAGGACATTAAGAGACTGAAAATATTCTTTATGTGAATGGTTGTTTATTTTGTATGCAAATGAATCCATTTATATTCGTCTCATAATACTGTCTGTCTGTGTATATCTTTGGATATAACAGGCAGTAAGATTAATAGTTCTATTGATGTGTGAACCATTTACAATAATTGTATTGAAGTGTAAATCATTTATAGTAATTGTATTGAAGTGTAAATCATTTACAGTAATTGTATTGAAGTGGATAGCTTAATACTTTCCTATGCAAAACGTTTATTATCTAGAATTCCATGTTTCTCATTGTGTGGGTCGCGGACTTCTAAGAACATAAGAAGGTAGGAGCACTGGCTCATGCTAGGCAGCTCCAAGTTACCTACCGGCTGAAACCACTGGCCAAAGCAAGTTACATCCACTTAAGAAGGATGGAACACTGCCTAGACCCACTAGCGCAAGCTAGTGGGTCTAGCTCTTGATTTTATTAATTAACGGAGCCTAAAATTGGAATTATTGGCACGTAGCAATCTGCAAAAACTTTTGAACTGAGAAGGGGTCCTCAGACCAGAGCACCCGTTTAAATGTTGAGCTTTATTCGGCTATTAATGTCTATCAGACTTGATAAAGCTCTACACTAAACCAGATATCTGAATGAAAGCTTCTCGACAGCATTTATCAGTTAAACCTCTACATATCAATTTATTTAATTAATCTCGTTTATTTTTGTTAAAATGGACAAATCAAAAATCTTTACAGGGATAGAGAATTTATTCGGAATGAAAAATTATACAGTGTGGGCTTCCAAATAAATCAAACATTAAATATGTAACAAATTTTTCGAATCCCAACTGGAATCCTGTTCAGAAAAATTCTGAAGAGTCCATTTGAGAGTAAAAAAAAAAAACAGCGTGTGTGTGTGTTGATATAGAAAAGATAGAAAGAATGGAGAGGGGAAGAAAGAAAAGTACAGAAAGGAGTGATGTAGGGAGAGGGGAAGGGAGAGAGTAAGGAAGGGAGGGGCTACAAGTGAGGAAGAAAATATGGTGTTTGGTGTGGCACTGCGAGGAAGCAGAGAGAAGGACGAGTGAGGACATAAATGAGGGAGGGAGAAAGAAGGAATAAGGAGGACTGATGGAGAGTATATATATTTGTGTAGTGGTAGTGTGGTAGAGAAGCAACACTGGTGTCCCAGGAACATTTTAGTGCAACAGTCAGCGTTGCAATGTGTGCTCCACCAGCCATCAGTCATTGTTGCCACAAATACCTTTCACTGTGAGAGTAACCAGGCTGGCACGGGTGTGTGTGTGTACTCACCTAATTGTGGTTGCAGGGGTCGAGACTCAGCTCCTGGCCCCTGGTGTGTGTGTGTGTGTGTGTGTGTGTGTGTGTGTGCGCCATTATTCGCATTAATCTAGCAATCTCTGTATTACAATCACAGCAAATAGCAAAATATCTAAGGGTCATATAGATCCTGGACTGGTAATCATTTGGGTTTTCTCAACGAATAAATGATATATGTAAGTATTAGCAGTCCAGAAGGCTCGTTATTCATTGCTCTTGGAGGTACCTGGGTGCTGTCCCATATTAGATCAATCGTAGCCATCACAACCTAGTTGATCCAACACTTTCTGCAGCCGATTTTTAGTTTCGTCTTTTATACCTTCTTTCCTGGTACTTGTTTTACACCTGCTGGAAGAAGACAAAATGATCCTTTTAATGATATCTTTAAGCTAATTTAATTTTTATGAGCCTTATCAATGTTGATAAAAACACATTCCATATAAATAGGGAAAAATTCATTGCATTTTATATATTACCATATTATTTAATCAAATTTTTACACTTCAAGAGGTGTATGTCTCTCAGTGTACATTTGTTTAAAGGTCACCTTAATTTCTATTTAGGGATTAAAGTATCATTAACTGGTAGTGAACATGTTACATGCAGCCTTAATGACCCTATTTTAGTGGATAAGGTTTTAACCTTATAAACTAACATTAATAACTTCAGTAATGTATACACTATGCACTGATAATTTTCTTTTACTCTCTAAATAAGGGATTAAATTATCTTTGAAGTCAGTGTACGTGTGAACTGTAACATCAATGACCCTAACAATCTCCCACTAATACATTACTATTATCATTTTTATTATTATTGTTTGTTTATGTAAATAGCTTCCAATCCATCACTGCATAATGGGATGCAGCCAGGAAAATGTACACTCCATCATCCATCAATATTTATCTTAATCAACTCAAAACACCTCAGCTCTTAACTACCAGCAATTTGCAACACAAGCAAATATCCATCTCCATTGAAGGGTCTGACAGAAGAGCTACTGATTATCCTAATTACCCCAAGAACGCTTCATTTACCGCTTTGGATGTGTTGAGGAACAACACAACAGCTGACCGCTTCTGTTGATGTTGGCCCCAGTGTTTACACGAGGCAGTGGTGCCAGGGCCAGCAACACACCCCACTCCTAACCCCAACCTATTTTTAAAGTCATAATAAAAGATGTAGAGTATCTGGTAACAGCTGAAGTGTTTCTCTTTCATTTTCTTTTTGAGAAAAGGAGTTTATTTGCATCTTGTATTTATTTTATAAGAACATAACATACGAAAGAAGGAACACTGCAGCAGGCCTACTGGCCCATGCGAGGCAGGTCCTAGTCTCCTACCGGCTTAGGTCAATGCCCCAGCCTAGTCAGGTACAACATTTTTATCACTTTCTCACTCTCAAAACTTCTATTTCATCTAGGCTTCTTTGCCTTTATTTTATCGCCTCTCCCTTTCTTTCCATCTTTTTCCATTTTCTCTATATCTTGTTCTGCTTTGTCGATTCTTACGCCCCATTTCCATCACTCTTGCATAACATTCTCACTATTTCAGTTTCTTCTTGCTTTCATTTTCAAATTCTTCATTTTTATTTATCCCTTATTGTTTCTATTTTCCTCATAATCTCTTTTTTTCCCCTTTTACCTTTATAAAACTCTCAGTGTTTGCTGGATGTACTAACTCACATCTGGTTATCTTTTATATATTTCCTCCGTCTCTCGCACCATCTTTCACACTAACCCTCCCTCCCTCACTCCTTCCTTCCCTTTTACGTCCTCTTTAACATCCCTTCCCTCTCTCAGTCCTTCCGTCTTACGTACTTTTCTCTTATCCCTTCGCTCTGTTTCTCACTCCCTCCCGGTCTTACTCCTTCCCTTCCACCAACGTCCCCTTTCTCGTCCCCTCGTTCCCACCTCACTCATTCCTCCCTTCTAACCCCGCTCCCCTCCCTAGCCCTCAGCAACTGGTGCCAGACTTCCACACCTGAGGCTCTCACACCCATCTAGAACCATTTTTTTTTTTATTTTTCTCCAATATACACTCCAGCTTGATATGAGATTCAGCCTTCCATCTTGGTTCTTTACATCAACTCTACTACATAACTCCTCACTTTAGCCCCCTTACCTCATCATGACTTGGACCTGCCTCGCATGGGCCAGTAGACCTGCTGCAGTGTTCCTTCTTTCTTGTGTTCTCATGTTCATATAACCTCCTCTTATCAAAAACTCTCTGAAAAAAATCCATAAAGCAATTAGCATTAGCTAAGAACTATAGACCAATAGCTTTAACGTCCCACATCATAAAAATCTTTGAAAGAGTTCTAAGAAGCAGGATAGCAAACCACCTGGACTCCCAAAAATTGCACAACCCAGGGCAACATGGTTTCAGAGCAGGTCGCTCCTGCCTTTCGCAACTGCTTGACCACTATGATATGGTCCTGGATGCACTGGAAAACAAACAGAATGCGGATGTAGTATACACACACTTTGCAAAAGCCTTTGACAAGTGCGACCATGGTGTAATAGCACACAAAATACTTGCTAAAGGGATAACCGGCAAAGTAGGCAGATGGATCTTCAACTTTCTAACCAATCGCACACAGAGAGTAGTGGTAAACGGAGTTAAATCAGATGCTGCCATAGTGAAGAGCTCTGTCCCACAAGGCACAGTACTCGCACCTATCCTGTTCCTTATTCTCATATCAGACATAGACAGAGATGTAAACCACAGCACTGTATCATCTTCTGCAGACGATACTAGGATCTGCTTGAGAGTGTCATCCATTGAGGACACGACAAAGCTCCAAGAAGATATAAACCAAGTTTTCCAATGGGCAACAGAGAACAATATGATGTTCAATGAAGACAAATTCCAACTACTCCGTTATGGAAAACTGGAGGAAATAATAACTAGAACTGAGTATACTACAAACTCCAATCACACAATAGAGCCGAAAAGTAATGTGAAGGACCTGGGTGTGGTAATGTCTGAAGACCTCACCTTCAAGGACCACAACAATGCCATTATCACATCTGCGAGGAAACTGATAGGATGGATAATGAGAACATTCAAGACAAGAGATGCTAAGCCAGTGATGATCCTTTTTAAATCAATTATTCTTTCTAGGCTGGAATACTGCTGTACATTAACCTCCTCATTCAAGGCATGTGAAATTGCAGAGCTAGAGAATGTACAGAGAACCTTTACTGCACGTATAAGTTCCATCAAACACCTTAACTACTGGGAGCGCCTGGAAGCACTTGACCTGTACTCACTGGAGCGCAGGCGAGAGAGATATATCATAAACTACACCTGGAAGATTCTGGAGGGATTGGTCCCTAATATGCACACAGCAATCACTCCATACGAAAGCAAAAGACTTGGCAGGCGATGCAACATACCCCCAGTGAAAAATAGGGGCGTCACTGGTACACTAAGAGAAAACACAATAAGTGTCCGGGGCCCAAGACTTCAACAGCCTCCCACCAGCAATAAGGAGCATTACGGGAAGACCCCTGGTTGTCTTCAAGAGGGAGCTGGACAGATACCTAAAGACGGTGCCGGATCAGCCGGGCTGTGGTTCGTACGTTGGATTACGTGCGGCCAGCAGTAACAGCCTCGTTGATCAGGCCCTGATCCAACGGGAGGCCTGGTCGTGGACCGGGTCGCGGGGTCGTTGATCCCCGGAATGTCCTCCAGGTAGACCTTAACCCCTAATCACTAACCCTTCTCATTAACCCCTTACCACCTCACACAAACTCGTTACCCTTTCACTCTAACTTTTCTTCACATAATCTTACATAATCTTCACATAAGCTATTGTAGTTAACTGACTACCCTGACTACTCTTTTGTAAGGCCATAATGTCAATCTTAAATTAATCTCAGTGTCTCTGGAGGACGATAGTTTGAGGCAATTGACCTATCTACACTTTATAAAAGCTATTACAATATTTGTAACCCTGTATGATTCTGGTACCTTGGCTGGAACTTAGACAAAACACATTAAGTGTACAGGGACCAAGACTTTCCAACTCCCCTCTTTTCACACATTAGGAAAATTAGCAACTGACCGAAGAGACCTTGATAAGTTCCTAAATTCAGTGCCCTTGTTATACTATGTGCGGCCAGCACCAACAGCCTGGTTAATCAGACCTTGATCTACCATTAGGTCTGGTTTAGAACAGGCCTGAGGGGGCGTTGACCCCTTCAGAACATCCTTCGGGTTGTCGTTTACATCTTCCAGACAAAAAAGTATCCGTGTTTTTTTATTTCTGTTTCGCAATTTCTAGACTATTCTCTCCCATTTTTTTTTTTGACAGCCAGTCCTTCCATTTACCTCTCATATTTATCCTACCTCCAAGTTTTCCTCTTTATTTCCCCGCATTTTTAATTATATTAATCATTGTCTCTGTATCTTATCCGTTTCGACTTCCGCTATCTTTCATGTCCTTCCCCATTGCCCAATTTCTTTTTCTCTTTTTCTTTCTTCCTTTCTCTTCTTTTCCACAAGATTCACGACTCTTCCACCGTACACAACACCCTGTCTCCCATCTTCCCTCCCATTCTCACTCTGTTACAACTTCCATACGACCTGTCTCCGAACTCAGTGTCCTTTTCACTGAATCCATAGTGGAACGCTCGACTATATATCCCATCGTCTTGCTTAAGAGGCTCGTAAATTCCCCAGTCTTCTAATAACATGCTCATTTTTCCACTGTAATCTACCTTGTCCATAATTACTGTCGCATCTGTTTTGTCTGTTTCGTAAGGTGAGGTGTAGGTAGATTATAGTGGAAAAATGAACATATTAGAAGACGGGGGAACCTACGTGCCCCTTAGGTCTCCCGGCTTTGGCTAAGAGACGTCAGCACTTGATGTAAGGAACACATTCAGCGTGATGGAATATGACCGAGAAACAAAGTTAGGTTTTTTGTTCCCGCGATGACTAAGAGCAACACACACGGTTGATTGGCCAAATTTGTTTAGAGAGGAAAAAAAAAAGGAAAAGGTTAGAGGGTAGAACTATTGGGCGTGTTTCCTTACACCAGTTGTCTATGTTCCCCATCAGCAAAGTGGGTACCTGGGTGTTGGTCGACTGATTTGAGTCTCATCCTGGGACAAAACTGACTTAATTTGCCCAAAATGCTCTACATAAACAAGAGGCTTTATATATATAAATATATCATTGATGTCAGTTAGGCCTGTATACCTTGTACATGTACTTGTACAAATCAAGATATTATATTATACTTCCCTGTAAATGACCTCACACTCCAAAAGTTTACAGCTCCCTAACCTCAACCCCACGCCCCCAACTTTCACCCACTTCTCATCTAACAGCATCCCTTACCCAACACTAGTCCTCCGTACGCAGCTAACGTGCCCTCACAAAACTGGTTGCTGGTCATACTGGATTAAGTCCCACTCATTATTGGCTAATAATCCTGATACAAGCCATTGTGTTGTAAATGCCTGTGATTACCCAGGCCTGGCTTTCATATATCCCTCCCTTCACAAGGCGAGTATATGATACCGCACTACCAGGATCAAAGGATACCACAGGACTAACAGAATTAACGATACTGAGGATAGCAGGGCAGGAGAAGAAAAATAATTCTTGAGAGAAGGATACAAAGTTATCAGGTTATTGTATTTCTAGCGCTAGATGGCAGCACTTAAACGGGATAGAAGGATAATTATAAATCAATACAGCGGATCGAGCCTTAACCACTAATTGGGCTGAATGGACCACCCTGGTTTAGCACTTCATAAAGCACAATAACGGAAGGGAAATAATGTGGAAAATATCACAAATTCCTCAGGAAACGAGATTAACATGAAGACAGATGAGAGGCAGAAAGACAGCAAGATTCCAGTACACACACACACACAAACACACACATTATATATTATATATATATATATATATATATATATATATATATATATATATATATATATATATATATATATATATATATATATATATATATATGTATATATATATATATATATATATGTATATATATAATATATATATATATATATATATATATATATATATATATATATATATATATATATATATATATATATACATACATATATATATATATATATATATATATATATATATATATATATATATATATATATATATATATATATATATATATATATATATATATATATATATATATATTATTCAGCATGGCAACGTATCACCCTTACGGATTTTGCGCATACCAATTAATATATTAATAAAAATTTCCAAGGTCTAGCAATATCCCAGACAGGCGCAATATTGACCAATTTGTCCGAATCGTCATCTTTATTACCAACGAAATCTAAAGCCAAACCAGAAAGGATAAAGAATACAGAGACACAGTGATTGGAACAATACATAAAAAACCTGCACATCGCAGAGAGAAACTGATGACGACGTTTCGGTCCGACTTGGGCCATTAACTAGTGACACAGGGAGATGGGAAGGGAGCCAGGATATATACGAGTGGGGGAGAGGGGGCGGAGCCGGGAGAACCAGAGCAGATAGTGGTAAAAGTAGAAGTAGTGGTTGAAGTGGTAGTAATAGTAGTAGTGTTGGTAGTAGTAGTAGTATTAATAATAATAGTAGTGGCAGTAATAGTAGTAGTAGTAGTGTTGGTAATAGTAGTAGTATTAGTAATAATAGTAGTGGCAGTAATATTAGTGGCAGTAACAGTAGTAGTAGTAGTGTTGGTAGTAGTAGTGTTGGTAGTAGTAGTAGTAATAATAATAGTAGTGGCAGTAATAGTAGTAGTAGTAGTGTTGGTAGTAGTATTAGTAGTGTTGGTAATAGTAGTAGTATTAGTAATAATAGTAGTGGCAGTAATAGTAGTGGCAGTAATAGAAGTAGTAGTAGTAGTGTTGGTAGTAGTAGTAGTATTAGTAATAATAGTAGTGGCAGCAATAGTAGTAGTAGTAGTGTTGGTAGTAGTAGTAGTATTAGTGTCGGTAGTAGTAGTAATAGTAGTGCCAGTAATAGTAGTAGTAGTAGTAGTGTTGGTAGTAGCAGAAGTAGTAGTAGTAATAGTAGTGGCAGTAATAGTAGTAGTAGTGTTGGTAGTAGTAGTGTTGGTAGTAGTAGTAGTAATAGTAATAGTAGTGGCAGTAATAGTAGTAGTAGTGTTGGTAGTAGTAGTAATAGTAGTGCCAGTAATAGTAGTAGTAGTGTTCGTAGTAGTAGTA